GGTTTTGTCACAAATTATTCAAAAGATTATTTCCGCGGCACACCTTCATATGATCATTATAGTTATACAAACAATAAGAGAATACATGAAAAACAGGTATGAAATACTATATGGCAGTAAAACAAGAATACAGTTTAAAGAGTGATTTGTAAAATATCCATAAAGAAAAAGAAAATATGTTTACAGTTCTGTTTCATCTGGGTGCTGAGAGAGGTATCCATAGATCTCTTCATGTTGCTCTCAAAGTGCACCAGATTGATGCTTGCAACTTCAATATTTAAACAAAAATCTTCCCGGGGGAGCATCCCCCCGGACCACCCTAGAGGAGGTGAGGACCTAGAAGAGGTGAGGACCCCTCTAGAGGAGGTGAGGTCTGCCCCCCACTCAGAAAAAATGGCACTTTACCCCTGCCTATATGCCTTGAGCTGATTATGGAGCCTTCATTGTAACAGTAATTCAGATGCAATTAGCCTATATAAAAGGCCTCAAATTTGGAAGCACTGTCTGGGCCGTCTTTTTCACTCAATTCTGCAATAGGTAGATCTCGCCTTTCACCTAGGCCGAGGTCGGTGATCTTGAGCTTAAAAAGGTTGGTGACCACTGGTATAGACTGAAGCCAAGGAAGCTCATCATCATTTCACTCAATGTCATTACAGTTATAATGAGTTGGTGAGGTAGTGTGTGTATGTGTATGTGTATGTGTATGTGTATGTGTTGCATATGGCAATTACAGCGATTACCACGTTACAAATAGAAGTTCTGTCTGAAGCATCGCCAACCTCACAGAAACTACTGGTTATGATTTAGGCAGATAATTCACACACCAAGTGACCTCTCCTCTTTGGGAGTGAAAGACGTTTGAATCACTCAGATAAAAAACTCCTTTTCTGAGAGAGAAACCCTTTATAACAGTAACTAAAGAGTAACCTGTGCGCTTTCACTTGCTGTAATAAGGCAGATGCAAGTCTTGGTTCTTTTGCTCCTGCTGTGTTTGCTGAAGTCATCTCAATAATTGAACCCTGAAGGCTTTGGATAAAAAAAAACGTAAAACCATGTCTTGGTAGTTGCCTAAATCAACATCACTGGTTTAGTGTTGAGATCAGTCGGATACCAATGCACCAAAAGCACAGGTGTATTTTATAATTTGTATAATGATTGAGTTTTGTGTTTGCTATTTCCAGTGTCCTGTGTTGTGCAGGCTGGCCTAAATTGCTTACTGACAAAGTAAGTGAAGGTAATTAATAAAGGAATAACTACTTTGTTGGGTATAATATTAGGATGATCATCTGTTCTATATAAACCCATCTGATGATAATATACTGACAGAATATTCGGAATTATTATACCGTAGCATAAAAACAAAGCTGTATTAGTCCTAACTGTGACTTACCATAGTAAGTCACAGTTAAGAGTAGAACTAAAAAAACACAATTAAGTTAAGCTAAGTTTCTCAGTATGATCTTTTTTGTGTAGTTGTAAGACATCACTGCATTAAATAACGTTTAATTTAGCTCACGCCTTTCTCCAAAGTGACTTACAATAAGATGATGATGTGAAAAGGCTGAATAGGACAAAACCTATTTAAGCCATGTTACTTTGTTCTATTATTTTAGGAGGGAAATATTCAGTGGGTATACGTTTTCATATTATAAATTATATGTTAAGATACAATTGCTAAATACTTCACAAAAGTTTCTTGGAATTTTGACCCATGAAACTTTAAAGACGAGACAGTGAGTCACTGGAGATGATGGGAGCTCCTTAGTAAAATGCCATCTAAAGATATCTTTAAACAAAAGTGTCAGTTATATTGTAGGCAAAAATTAGCATCCAACAATTTAACAGTTAATCTGTCAGGTAGGGTAATATATTATGTGTTAACCAAAGGAGCTTTAGCAGCTTGTGAAGGTGGAACTGATGGTTGGAACAATTCAGTTCCATGGATATGATCCATTTCAGAAATAACAGATATGAGGAAATGTTGAAACAGTGTAACCGTTAAAATAATTTGTACATTTTAAATATGAACTGTCCCACATATTTTTGTCACAATTCTGAATAAATAAAGCTGCACTAACATCAGCTACCTGGAGAGCTTTTTAGCCATTCCTAAGCTCATTGTTTTGGTACGGCCACATTCCTTACTGTTATGGTTTATTGCAATGCTGCTGTCAACCTTGTTCCTACCTCAGCAGCTGGCAGCTGTTTTCAGTGCAAACACTTCTGACAAACATGCATTAGTCCTAGTCAACTGCTCAGCACCAAAAGGCAGAAATAGTCAGTAGCTAGTCACTACTTGGAGGATATGATGGAGCTCTAGAAGCCAAAGAACCAGTTTATTTTTCTAAAGCGCTGTACAATAGCTCCCCACTGCTCCTACTACTAGGATGGGTTAAATGCATAGGCCAAATGTCACTGTGTGTGCTGTGTGCTCTGCATTTGTGACCATTAAAGAGGGCTTCATCCCTCTAATCCTATCTTCTAAAGAGTTGGAGCTCAAATAAATCTGTGTTAAAGATACATTTATATCAGGGCTTTGTATTGGCAAGATTCTGGGTAACTATTAAATATGTACCCTTCTGCAAGGTGATAGATTAAGATTTTTTATTTATAATTAAATGTAATCTTTCATAATAAAAACACAAATAAAATGTTCTTCTTATTCTTTAGCGTGACATTAAAATATAGAGGCAAACTTGAAGCTGCTGAAACCCATGTTTTCTTCTGTGCTTCCTTCAGAAAAAAACACAGTAGAACAATTTGTTTACTTATCAAACCCTTCAGGCTTACCAAGGTTAACTGGTAAGATGAGTCTTTGTGTACCTAGCCTTCCTACAATTTGACAAGTTACAGACACCACACCCTTGTCACACAGCAGGAACACCCCTCAAAACCTGGGATAAAAAATCCTCTCTATTCTACTGAAGGTTCAGTAAATGTCAGGAGACTGAAGACTAAGCTTCACAGCACCATTCACACAATTTGTATCTCAGATAGGACTGGAGCAGAAGGCAGGTAGTGTACTTGGAAATACAGAAACTTCTAGAGCATCCTGGTGAGTATCTGCAATTATTTTGTACGCGTTTTTTTCTAAATCAGATTTCAGACCTTGTAATTTCTACTATATTAGCACATTACATAATTGGACAGAAATGGTGTACATTTCTAATGTGCAACATGGATAAATGGTTGCTCACTGTGAAATAAAAGTCAGTTGCAATGGTTCCATATTATGGGACAGAAATAATACAGATGAGGATTTTCTTTTTTACACAAAAACTCATGGAACAATCAATATCTTTCCAGGGTATCAGGGACACCACCCTCTGAACTCCCATCCTCCATTATTAGTCCACTATGGGCCAGGCAAGCAGCAAACCAACGAACCCCCAGAACTCCAACTTCTCTTTAAAGCACAGCTCCCCCAGCTCCAACAGACAGAACATGGCACCTCGACCAAGCATCTTCTCCACATTAAGAAGGCCCCTCATCACCAAAACGAATGATTTCATACCGCTATTCAATGATTGCATCTCTGCCGCTGCATCCAGAACACAAGAATACCTCCTTTTCAAAGACCCAGAGGACAAGTTCCAAGCAAGCTCTGAGGTGCTCACCCAGGTAGGCCATCCTTTGAAAGCTGTGATCTTAACAATCTTAGACCTATAATCGTTACCGGTCACAAAGATAGTGCAGTTACATACAGTATATTGAACTCTTTGGTGTTGGTTCTCTTTCCGCTTCAATAACCCAGCATTGCAGAAATCAAAACATTTTCAGGGATCAGATCATTTATTTCTCCCAAAAACCTGACAATTATTATTGCCTTTATACTTAGTTGATTTGATCACTGTAATACCTTGCTCCTTGGCATCAGTAAAATAATCCCTCCGGCTCAGCCAAACTATACTGCTAAGATTTGAACTCTAGGAAATCAAGTAGTTAGGGCTTCTAAACTCTGGAATTAGAATCAGGGCTGCAAACCATTTTGTGTCTTTCAATTCGCCTTCGAAAAAAACTATCTTTTAGATTTGTATTTTTTATCTATGTCTTATGACATTTTGTGTTTTTAATTGTGTGTTTATTATTGTTGCTGTTACATTCTCATTAGTATCTGTTTAATCATAATGGACTTTGTAACTATTTTTTAAAAGTGCTATATAATCAAAGTTAACTATTATTAAAATCTATACTTAAAAAACCTCTTTAGAATTCTAAAATGTCTTGTAGGTGGTCTTTAAAACATCTTGCCCTTTAACAGGTCTTCCTAATGACCTACATCACTCAGAGTGTCAGCCTGAACATGACAGACAGATTCAACTGCACGGCCATGACGCCTGAGCAACGCATCCTCTTAGGGCCTGACTGGGTCTGGGCCATGCTTGAGAAGCCCACCAAGAACCCTCGGATCCAGATCGCTGTGCAGGTCCTACACCTCCCTGACAGGGAGGCCGCTGAGGAGAACAACATCCCCCAAGAGGCCTGCACAGAGTCCATCCAGATTGCACAAAAGGAGTCCAGTAACAAGACCACATACGAGAGAATGGTGGACTTCTGCACATCCATCGGCAAGGACTGCTACGCCCTCTTCTTGTTCTTGGGAAAGAAAAACGACAAGGGGAATATCTACGGAGTCCTCAGCAACAACTTTGAGGCTGCAATAGGGAAGTGCAACAAGATTGACAGAGCTTTTATCGAAAACTTCTTCAAAGGCTCAAGGTATCTGCATACACCTCCAGGAATGATGCAAGCAATTGTAACCAAAAAAGAAGGAGACTCTCTCACTCTCATGGTTAAATTCAGCTAAAAACAAAGCACCTTTAACGTTTTAATGACCAATAACATGATACATTGATATGGTAGTAAAACCTTACATGGTAAACTTTATTGACAAAGATGTTGAGTTTGATATAAGTATATTGAGTATAATGCCTTTGAAAGAAAATGCCTATGATATTTTCAGTGGATATCTGACAGTGTGCTTTTTACAGACAACTTCACGACATGATAACTGGATATAAAACAGGAAACAATTATACCTAAATTTGAAATAAGTGGAATTATCTTTAAAGCACCAACCTCATGATAAAGGTTTGGAACAACTAATATTTGGAATTATGTATACCTTTTAAAATGAATAAAAGCTGCAAATTACTTAAATGTTTTCATTAAAAACTCCTGCTTTAAGAGTTTTTCCAAAGAAAAACAACTTCACCTGATATTGGAGGGAAGGCTCACATGAGACAAACTAATTGTAAGACTCACAAGGATAAATGTTACAAGATTAATATAGTTACAGATGTGTTTACCTGCATGCAAGTGAAAACACATCTGTATGTTAATAAAATCACAACCTGGTGTTGAAAGATTGACAACAATAACAGCAATGTAGTGTCTCACCAGTTGGCTGTTTTTGGACCACTTGCATATTGCTTATAATCAACCTGA